AATTAAAAAAAAAAAAAAAAAAAAAAAGGAAACCTGACTCGTAATACCATCGTGGAGTTGGAAGGCCCTAAGGGAAAAAATGGCACCTAGGGGGAGGAGGGATTGTTGGCATCCCCTTGGTCCCATTGTCGTGCCCGGTGATAAAACCAAAAGGGATAGTCTTGCGGAATGCTCAACCCCTTGGTTCCTTTAAGTTGCTCTTTTTCTTCCTTGTTGCCGGCTGTTGGCCTCGATCCTGAAATTTGCTTGATGAAAGTCTGACAGTATAACCCATAGTGCTAGGCCCAAGGCTGGTATTAGCTTTTGCAGATTTCTATATGAACGGGGTGCTGCTCCATATGTGGGCCTGCCAATGCGCCCCAAGACCAGTCCTTGGCCTACCGGTCAAATCTACAGCCACCAATCGCCGACACTTATCGCATAAAGGGGCCTGGTGCTTCTCATGACCGCCATACGCATCACTCGTCATGCCAAAGCCGCACTTTTAACATTCAAGCAGAAAAAAACCCAAAATTTACATATGCTAAACTCCGCCCGCGCATACTCTCACTGAGACCTTAAAAAAATCCTACCGGCGGGCAAACAGAACAAGATTCCCTATTGCACCGCGTGCCATACGGCTCCAAAGGCCCTTCAAACAAAAATCAGAATGACCACTCTTAAAAATTATGGCATTGGCAGTCAAACCTAAGGTCCCTCATGGCAAGCGTCGCCTTTCCACCCGCTCACGCGCCACAGTCAAATGCACTGATCAAAGGAAATATCTTTTAATCCTAGTTTAATAAAAAACTAAAAAAAAAAGACCGACAATTGTGTCGGTTCTATAACGTCAACAACAAAAAATCATGCGCGCCTTAAAATTGTGTGCTCACTCTGCGCACCCAGTTATCGTACCCAAAAATCATGCGCGCCTGAAAACTGTATGCTCACGCGGCGCACCCAGTTTTCGTACCCAGCTTTCAATCAAAGCTTTACTCTTGTCACTTGCAAAAACAAGGGCGGATATCCGTGTAAGGGTATTCGCACCGACAACGCTAAAACCATTACAGCCCTGTCACTACGAGCATACTGATGCTGATTAGAGCAAAGTGTGTGAGAATTGTCGCAACTCACAAGAGTGTTTCCTCCATGTCCGTGTGGTGTTGTGTTGTGGTGTGTGTGATTCCCACCTACTCACATTACGGGTGAAGTTCGCAGACTGTTGGTTCCCACCTACTCACATGCTCATGCAGACCTACAAAAAGAATTAAAAAAAAAAACAAGAAGAAGAGCCTACATACATACATAAAAATGATTGTGTGTGTATATGTGTGTCTGGCATGTGTGGTGTGTGTCGAGTTTGGACACTACAGCCTTGCAGGGGTGGGGTGGATGTCACGACCGGTATGGTTCCACTTTTGTACACTACTGTGAGGGGCATTTAGTGCTTAAGAGACTTGGCTCTTGTGGCCAAGGGTGCCGATTCGATTTCGTGCACGATGGAGGAGGTTTGAGGCCTGATGTACGGATCCATAACCACTGTGGAAGTTCCAGTGGAAACCCACTTGCAGTTTAAGACCTGTGGGTGTGACTGGGCAATCGAGCAGTGTGGGTTACATGGTGATTGGAGCGAAGTGTGCGCGGATTGGCGTGTCCGTGTGGTGTTGTGTGCGGTGTGTGTGAGAGTTGTGTCCATGTGGTGTTGTGTCCTTGTGGTGCCCACTACAGCCTTGGAGGGATGCAGTGGATATTACGACAAGTGTCGTTCCACTTTTGTACAGAATAATGTGTCATGGCTTTCGTGCTTAAGATACTTGGCTCTTGTGGCCAAGGCCACCAGTTCGAATCCTGCCATGCACAGAGGAGGTCTGAGGCCCGATGTACGAAGGCATAGCTATCACCGGTAAGAGCTCAACTTAGGCTCGGGTGAACTGGTGGTCTAACCATCATTAACGGCGGGCTGTATAGTTGTTTGCTTTATGGGTTGTTCAAAATGGGACTATATACAATGCGCAATGAGAGATTAACTGGATGATTATTGATTGCCGGCTTTATTATATTTATTTGCTTGGTTGGTTCTTTAAAATCGGACAAAACATCACGTTTTTTTTTTTTTTTTTTTTTTTTTTTTTTTTTTGCAGTTCCGTCACAAATCGATGGCCAAGGGCGCGGGGCCTCTCCACCCACAACCAGATTTCTTTCTGGAAGTGCTCGCCGAAAGCTTGAAACTCTGCCGCGCGATCAAACGTTCATGGAAAATATTCATTGATTGATTGGTTGCCGGATCGATTGATTGATTGATTGATTGATTGATTGATTGGTTGGTTGGTTGATTGCTTGATTGATTGCTTGCAAACATTGCTTGATTGCTTGATTGCTTGCTTGCAAAATTGCTTGATTGATCGCTTGATTGATTAATTGTAATTAATCAATCAAGCAATCAATTTATTGATGTAAATGAGCGATTAGCTTAGCTCTCGCTTAAATGCTTGATTGATTGCTTAATTAATTGCGTAATTAATTGCTTGTTTGCTTGCTTGATTGATTGGTTAATTAATTGCTTGTTTGATTGGTTGGACTGTTATTTGTGCAGGACAGCACTCCACTGGGCGGCAAGAACAGGGAGTTTGCCGATTGTCAGTATCCTCTTTTTTTTTCTTTTTTCTGTATTCTATTTTCTTTTTCAATGTCTCTTTTTGGTCGAATGTAGTCGATGATTTGACATACTGAATGAGCTCAGGAGGGAAGCCCTAGGGCCTAGGTTCATTGTAATGAAGGTCAAGTCTATGTCTATGCTGAAGCTCTAGAGCAGTTCCAGTTTAAATTAGTATGTCTACGCTTAAAGCACAAGTACACGGGCCCAGCCTTGCAGCAAAACATCTTGTCGCCACAAGAATGGATTTGCGGCGAGGGCCTACCGGACCACAAGGGCCGGCGCCGCCAGCCAAAAAAGAAAAGAAATGCACCGATGGCAGATAGGAAGGTGCGCTGCTGGCGGTTAAGATATTAGTATTATTAGAAGTTAAAACTGTAGTTCAGATCTTTGTCATCTATGCTAAGTTTGAGCGAAGTCAATTCAGTAGGAATAATCAGATATGGACTACGTATGTAGTATGTACTACTACCATTTTCACTCGAATTGATTGAATAAGAGCGCCCCGTCGTTATTGCCACTTATTGGTGTATTTCGACTGAAAGAAACCGCCAAAAAATACAGCTAAAGTGACCGTAGTAGGTTGTATTCGGGTGATGAAGGTACCATGTTTTGTACTAGATAAAGGGGGGTTTCTTGTGTTTACACACCCTGATGACCGTAGTAGGTTGTATTCGGGTGATGAAGGTACCATGTTTTGTACTAGATAAAGGGGGTTTTCTTGTGTTTACACACCCTGATAATGAATGTATACAAGCTATATTTATGGCCAGGTAAGACCTGAATGAGGGTACATTATGTTCGATACGTGGGATGTTCTATTGCAGCAACGCTATTTTGTGCGTACAAGGAGACGTAGTCATACGATCACAAAATTGCGTGACAGGAGTTCAGATAGCAACCCATGTGGCAATTTTCTGGAGTGAGGGTGGGTGTGTTCCATATTGGGGGTGGGGTGGGGTGGGGTCACTTCTTAGGCTATCGTGAAACTGTAAGGCGAATCTTTTCTAGTAGTCACGACGTTGTGCTAAGTTTGGGGTGCTGATATCTCACCTCGTCGATCAAACGAGTGAAGCGTCGTACGTGTCGTACAAAGTGTAGGGCCAAGTTTTCGGACAAAGAAGTGGTAGTGAATTTGTGAAATGGTTGTTATAAATTTGTGGTGAAGATTTTTTTTTTTTTTTTTTTTTTTTTTTTTTTTTTTTTTTGTGGTGCGTTTGTTGTGAATTCCCTCACCAGTTTGGACTGGTTTTGTGGTAAACTTGTGGTCAATATGTGGTCCATTTGTGGTACGGTCGCTGTCAATTTGTGGTCAGTTCGTGGTTAATTTGTGGTTAGTTCATGGTCATTTCATGGTCAGTTTGTGGTTAATTTGTGGTCAATTTTTGGTCAGTTCATGGTCAGTTCATGGTCAGTTGGTGGTTAATTTGTGGTCAATATTTGGTCAGTGCATGGTCAGTTCGTGGTTAATTTGTCCTCAGTTCTTGGTCAGTGCATGGTCAGTTTGTGGTTAATTTGTAACCAATTTTTGGTCAGTTTGCGGCTAGGCTACCAGCCGAGCCGCCTGGGTCACCCTGTTTTCCCTGGCAGCCCGGCCGT